GGCCGCGGGTCCCGCCTCATCCCGCCGCACAGCTGGGTCCAGCCTGCCGTGGCCGCAGCTGCCCTGGGGCCTGGGAGCTCTGCAGCGTGTCCTGCGGGCGACCTGACCCTGGGCTTGTGGCTGGCCGTGGGCTGGGGCTGATGGCCCCTGCCACGCTGGGAGCCTCGCCCTGCCCTGTGCCCAGCCTGGGCACCCGCCCAGCCCCACCGGCCGCGAGGTGCCGTGACCCCCCACAGGCCCAACCAGCAGAGTCTCGGGCTCGCTCTCGGGACACCCCACAAAGGCAGCCCCTGTTGCTGCTTGCGGCCTGTGGTCAGCCCCAGGGCTGCTAGGAGGCCAGAGAGCTCTTGGTCAACCCGACGGGAGTGGGGCACACAGGTGGGTCACCCCTGGCCCCGCCCAGCGACGGGCCCGCGAGGTCACAGCCCAGGGTTGCGCGGGCGACAGGCAGGAGCCGGCACTTCTGGCCTTGCTGAAGGAGCCTCCACTTTCGGGGAGCTTCCCCCCGGGCTGGACGCCCCGAGCAGGGCACTCCGGCCAGCCCACTGACCCCCTGCCCTGGGGGTGCCGTGGCCCCGGGGAGCAGTGGCCCAGTTCCGAGCGGCTCCACCGAGCCTAGGGCCACAGGGCCCCACGTTTGGAACCAGGTAGAAACACAGGAGCCCCCAAACTTGCACCTTTCGGGATGGGGGTGCTTGGGGACCTGCAGACGGACAACTGCCCAAGGGGGGGCAGAGGTGGCTCAGGGCGAAGCCGGGTGCCGTTAGGTGTCCCCGGGGCCACCCCAGGGCAGAGGCCAGGCGCACCTCTGGAAGTGACTGGAGCCGCCGAGCGGAACTGCGGGGCACCTGGGTGCTCAACCCGGGTCCCCAAAACCGGACACCCCAGAGGAAAACGGGTGGGAAGAACCTTCCCCTCTAGAGCAAAGGGCTGCGGGGGCGCTGGGGGGTGACCCGCAGTCGCGCCCCGGCAGTGCAGAGAGCAGCGCGGGGTGTCACAGGGGCACCTCCAAGTCACGCCTGCAGACGCCAACCGGCCCCACCCCTGCCCGGTCCACCCCAGCCCAAACC